ATGCCTCTACTTCCCCCATAGGCCAAATAAATGTATGAGGGGGCATGGCCAGTGCTTCAGCTCTTCTCAGCTGGTAGACTGTCCTTTTTAGGACAGTTGCCAGTTGGCATATGTTCAAGTTGTCACTGTGCTGTTCTGGCTGACACTGGGATCAGGGACAACCTAGACAGAATCAAGGAGCCAAAACAAGCTACCTGCATGTCCTTTCTTTGCTGTGCTAAGTTGATCTTGAATGTAATAGAGAATCTGTCTCTGTATCTTCACCTTCTACTTTAAATACCTGTCTTCCCAGATAAGCTCCCCAAAGTATCTGGCTAGGTGTATGTTCACAAGTGCCTGATAGTAAGGCCAGGTCTACCTTTAGAAGCACTTTGCTGGTATAGTTTTACTGGTATACTATACCAGCAAAGTGGTCCTCATGTGGACACAGTTTTATACCAGCAAACACAGCCCCCTGGTCACCTTCCCCACAAAATAAGCTATACAACTAAAAGAGCAGTTTTGCCAGTATTACTGCATTTATGCTAGGCTAGAGACTTCTGACCAGCATAGCTATGCTGACAAAAGTGTGTCATGTATACTTAGCCTAACTTTCATATGTATTGAATTGGTATGATAACAATGTTTTACAAATACCAGTGCAAATGTACACCATACTACTGTATTAGTTACAAAAATTAAAGCTGAGTTCCTAAAGGGTGCAGCTTCTCATATCTTCAAGAGGAGCTATGAGTTTTATTTTTCTAAGGCAGACAGGACTACTTTAAAACATACTGGCAGGCATTTTTCTCAACGTATTAATGTTACACAATGTGGGAGGGATATCTAAACGTGTGATACCACTATTTCAACGTGTTGTAAAAATCACCCTGCTTTTCACAAATTGTATTAAATGGTGAAATACTATTTTATTAAAACCTTTATTTAAAAAAAAAAAAACCCTTACAGCTATTTTTTTTTTTCTCCTTTTTTTTTTTTTATTTTTTTAAAAAATTTTTTCTTCTTTAAAACCTCTTTTTTTCTTTTTTCCTCTTCTCCCCCCCCCCCCCCCCCATTTATGCTGTTTGGTTTTATTTTGTGTTCGTCTCTTTAGATTTTTCTTGTGCACATTTGCTCATCCTCTCTTTTTCAAATCCATTTTTTTAATTTCCCTTTTCTCCATTACTTTGTCTACTACTTCCCACTAGCTTCTTCTGTGCTCTGTACCCATCTGTTCTAATTCTGCTTCAGTTAACCCCTTTCTTCAGTTTGACATGTTCTCTCTCTACCAAGCGCTGATATTTCTTCAATGAACTTCCTAGCAGTCAGACTGTAAAGAGCTGTGTACCTCTGGCAGAGGATGGGAGGAGTACTGATCATGGCAATTAGTGCTCATTTGGTTCTTTCCCCTTTAAGGCTTCGAAGCACCAGTTCATTAATTGCTTTTCTGTGGCCATGCTCTTATGGGAGGTGAGTGATGTAGAAGAAGGTTGTTGCACTGGACACCTTCTGGTTTGGGCAGCAGAAATCTGGTTTCTGGCTCTGTTACAGTCTGCCTGTGTGGCTTTGGACGGGTCATTGAATCTCTTTCCCTTGTTCCCCATTTGTAAAATGGGTGTTATACTTACCAAAAGTAGATTCTCAATCACTTCAAGTCTTTGAATCAAAATAGATGTCTTCCTATAAAAGATAATCTCCAGATTAATCAAGCCATTATTTCTGGTCAAAGGAACTACAGCACGAAATTGTATAGTGTATTATGCAGTTTGACAGATTAGATTATCATAATGGTCACTTCTGGCCTTAAAAATCTATGAATGAGCAGAGCCCAGCTCACTGATTTTTGTCATCACAGACAAATGGGCATCTTCTTGCTCCTAGAAGGTGGCGATAGGAATAATTTATCGCATCCCTACATAACAAGAGTAGCTGGTTGTCACTCAGTTGAGTATGCTAGTAGCAACTAGCATAAACAAATGTTGTGCTCTCTTCCTAAGCTCCAGTGCCCCTGCTGCTGCTGCTCACAGCTTTGCAAAGCTGCAGCAGAGTGAAAACTAAGTAGTCTTGCCAGTTCTGTTATGCAGAAGTGAAACTCTCAAAAATTTCCCCACTCTGCATAGGGAAACCTGAGCTGCAGCAGAGGCAGACACTAAAGCAGTTTACTGGGGAACAGAACTTAAAATGGAGATAACAGCTCACAGCCGCCACGAAATAGAGTAGCTGAGACATGGACTCTCATCACAGTGGCTAGGAGGCTCTGGGATGCATGGGAGGAACAGAAAGGGAGGATCTTCTATTTAGCTGCTCTAAGGTAGGGTTCAGTGAGAGAGGGCTCGATGTCTGTCTGTCTGTCTGTCTAGACAGCTAACCAGAGACAGTATGAAGGATGGAACCCCTTAACAAGCATCCAAGCTCTCCCTTATCTAGATCAGTAGTTAATCTGTTACTGTATCTGGCCTCTGACCAGTTACCTAATGCCTCAAAGAGAGAGATGCAAGAAACCCCACATTGAACAATTATGGAGTAACCAGCCCATACAGGAAGTCAGTTAATGGTTAGCTTTTTCCTTGAATGAAGCCATGAGGGTTTTATATGCCTTCCAAATGTTAAGGTTTTTCTAAAATCCGATCTAAGATAGCTGGATGTTCTTACTGTTCATATAAACTTGCAGTGTTTTTTAATCTTGCTAAGCTCTTGGCCTCAGTGGAATCTGATGAGGATGAATTAACAGACTAATAGTGTGGTTTGCAAAAATACTTCCTGTCATCAGTTTTAAATTTGTTGCCTGTCAGTTTCATTGAATGTCTCCTTATTGTTGCATTATGAGAACAGCTAAATAGGAGTACCAAGTCCACTTTCTCTGTACCATTCATTATTTATATATCTATCACGTCCCTCCATTATTTCTTCTCTGAACTGAACAGTTCCAGTATTTGCCATCTCTCTTCATGTGAAATGTTTTCCATTCCACTGTTTCATCATCTGGCTCTGAACCATTTCTATTTCTGCTACATATTTTTGAGACAGGGTGACCCAGAGTTGAACATGTCATTCCATAAAATGGGTTGTATTCTAAACTGAGTGAAGAACCTCTTAGCAGAGAGAATGCTTTCTCTCTTCCAGCGGGAGTGACAGAGGTTGATGATGGTCTGTGTGAGAGACTGGAAAGCCAATATGAAAGATGGAGAGGACTGAGCAGGATCCAGAAACAGCACCCACTTTGCAATTGTAGCACCAACCTCTTTTCAAACAGGGAGGGTCCTGGGCACCTCTCCAGGGCTTTGTTTCTTGATCTGACCTGAAGGAACATGCATAATTTTTCAATGTTTTTTGGCTGGTTGGTATCTGGTAAAATTTTTTCAAGTCCTAATTATAAGCCTTTTTTTCTCGAGTTTAAAATTTTGTGGTACTAATTTGGATGAGCTGAAATTTGACATTGCCTCTATATAGGAGAATTTTATTTGAGAGTTGGGTTTGTGGTTTAACAAGGTGATGCTTCATTTTACTTGTAAGTAATTTTTCTAAAATTAAGAGTGGCTGAGTAATGTTGTAACTGACCGTCTTCTTTAGAGTCCCGTGTTTGCTGCATATCAAGTATTAACAGCTCTTTTGTACAGTGTTTATTACACAAGTTTGTGGCAAATGGAATAGCGTTTAATGAAACACTTCTACCTTGGTATTTTATTAAAGGGGTGGGAAAGGACTATACAACCATTTAACAAATAGATTATTTACTAAATTTTTGAAGTCAATATCAGATGTCTATAAAGTTTACACCAATAAAAGATGACATGATCCATAACTAGGGCCTTACCAAATTCAAAGCCATAAACGTGTCACGGCCTGTGAAATTGGTCTCCTCCTGTTAAATCTGGTCTTTTGTGTGCTTTTACCCTATACTATACAGATTTCACAGGGGAGACCAGTGTTTCTCAAATTGGGGGTCCTGACTCTAAAGGGACTTGCAAGGTTATTTGCGGGGGGGGGCACAGTATTGCCATCCTTACTTCTGCACTGCCTTCTTTGGCTGCCCAGCCCTGAAGGCACTGCCCCACCAGCAGCAGTACAAAAGTAAGGGAGGCAATACCATACCATGCCACTCGTACGTCTGCACTACTGCTGGTGGCGGCTCTGCTTTCAGAGCTGGGATGCCAGCCAGCAGTTGCCACTGTCTAGCTGCCAAACTCTGACGGCAGCGCCAGCAGCAGCACAGAAGTAAGGGTAGCTAGCAGTATCACAACCCCCTCTATAATAACCTTGAGGACACACACACACACACACACACCACTCCTTTTTGGGTCAGGACCCCTACAGTTACACCACCATAAATTGCTGAAATCATGAAATTTTATTTTTTAAATCCTATGGCCATGAAATTGACCAAAATGGACCGTGAATTTGGTAGGGCCCTATCCATAACTTAAGTATAGTGGGGAAGAAAATGGACTGTCACAGCAGCATGAGCCTTTTTTGTTGTCACTGGGTTTTATTGTTAAACATATTTAAGTTCTTTGTTTATTAAAAAAAAGTCCCAAATTTGGCATGTCCGTAACTTAGTTAAATCTGATGTAGAAAGCTGCCTTGATTTAAAATACCTTGTCATCTTGGAATACAACAAACACTTCTGATTTCTGTAGCAGGATAACTAGTGGACTTGATTCCAGAGTTCTCCTGACTTTATCCATGGTGCTATTGCATACATGTATCCTTTAAACAAAACAAAAAAACCCCATATTTCAGTATCTTTCCAGACATAAGACAAAAATGTTTGACAAATACAAAACTAGTAGTAGAAAAGCTTTACTGTCAAAATTTTAAGTCAGACAAAAGCGGAAGATTGAAGTACAGGAAAGCAATATTACAACTACGATATCTGGTTCTCATACTAGTCACTTTTTTCATCCTACTTGGTAAATTTTGATCCACAAATATGATCATTTTTCTGCCTAATTCATATAACAAAACCGATTCAATTTATTTTAGTGTATACCAGTTTTTAACACTCTCTCTTAATTTTGTAGGTACGGAATCCGCCCTGAAAATGTGATTATATATGGCCAAAGTATAGGAACGGTACCCTCTGTGGATCTCGCTGCTCGGTATGAGAGTGCTGCTGTAATTCTTCATTCTCCTTTGACCTCGGGAATGCGAGTAGCCTTTCCTGATACGAAGAAGACCTACTGCTTTGATGCATTCCCAAAGTAAGTTACTACTAACTGTGACGGGTTAGATCACAGAATCCCCCCTTGGGAGCTGCCAACTGATGAGCCAAGACTACTTCTGCTCCTGCTTTCCCTTCCAGCTCGGGACCCGAGCACCCTGTCTTGCTGAGTCAGACACTCCCGTCTGCTCCAACAAAAACCCAGGGTCTGAATTACTTGTCCCAAAACTGCAGACTTAACTGAAAGCAGCTAACGGAAGTGTTTTTGTCTTTAACACTCAGATGCCCAACTCTGAGTGTTAACCCACTCTAAACCCAAATAAATCCGTTTTACCCTGTATAAGCTTAAACGGGATAAACTCATGAATTGTTAGCCCTCTATAATACTGATAGAGAGAGATGCACAGCTGTTTGCTCCCCCAGGTATTAATACATACTCTGAGTTAATTAATAAGTAAAAAGTGATTTTTATTAAATACAAAAAGTAGGATTTAAATGGTTCCAAGTAGTGACAGACAGAACAAAGTAAGTTACCAAGCAAAATAAAATAAAACACGCAAATCTATGTCTAATAAAACTGAATACAGATAATCTTACCCTTAAAGATGCTTCAGTAAGTTTTTTCCTCAGACTGGACATCTTCCAGGCATGGGCACAATTCTTTCCCCTGGTACAGCTTTTGTTCTAGCTCAGGTGATAGCTAGGGGATTCTTCATGATGGCTCTCCCTTTGTTCTGTTCCACCCATTTATATATCTTTTTGCATAGGGCGGGAATCCTTTGTCCCTCTCTCTGGGTTCCCACCCCCTCCTTCTCAATGGAAAGACACCAGGTTAAAGATGGATTCCAGTTCAGGTGACATGATCACGTCACTGTAAGACTTCAAGCCTTCAATCCTCCCAGCCTGACTCACAGGAAGGCTTGTCTGCAAACAGAGCCATCCGCGGTCAGTTGTCCTGGTTGATGGGAGCCATCAAGATTCCAAACCACTATTAATGGCCCATGCTTTGCAAAATTACAGTAGGCCCTCAGAGTTATATTTCATATTTCTAGTTTCAGATACAAGAGTGGTACATTTATACAAATAGGATGATCACACTCAGTAGATTATAAGCTTTGTTAATGATACCTTACAAAAGACCTTTTGCATGAAGCATATTCCAATTATATGCTAATGAATGAATATAATGTATTTATAAAATCCTATAGAGTGCGACGTCACACTAACATTCTCAGAATAGAGAAGAAAGTAATCTTGCAAATTCTTTGCAGTTGTCCTTTAAGGTAATATTAAAAAATGCTAATATCCTCTAATTACATAATTTGTCTGCCAGAAGCTGGGAATGAGCAACAGGAAATGGATCACTTGATGATTACCTGTGCTCTTCATTCCCTCTGGGGCACTTGGCATTGGCCACTGTTGGAAGACAGGACACTGGGCTAGATGGACCTTTGGTCTGACTCAGTATGGCCATTCTTATGTACGAAGAGTGAATCAAGACCTGATGAATCCAGAAACTTTTGAATACATGAAAAAAGATTAACAGTAATTTATAAAATTAAAAATATTTTTATAATGCTTGATTCACACATTTGTGAATGTTTTATATTCCTAATCAGTTTTATAGGTGTCTTTGTATTAAAAGGTAAGGGGAAAAATATAACTGTCCCAAATATAACTAGTGGGTGGTCCTGGCCGGTATATTGATGGCTCTGAATAAAGTGTCTTTTTGAGTCTGTTGCTCAGACCAGCAAGGACTGGGAAAAGCTATGCCCTCACTGCTGCTACCCATGCTACTCCAGCTACGCTGCTATTTATACTTGTGCTAGCTTGATGAGAATTAGAATGAGCATGTGTACATAAGCGAAGGAATCGCACCTCTAGTTCATAGCGCAGCCATAGCCTAAGGACAGGTCTAAACTAACAAGTTAAGTTGGCCCAGCAATATCGTTCAGAGTTGTGAAAAATCCACACCCCTGAGCAACATAGTTAAGCTGACCTAACCCTTGATGTAGACAGCACTAGGTCAATGGAATAATTCTTGTATCAACCTAGCTACTGCTTGGTGGTGGATTAACTACAGCAATGGGAGAACTCTTCCCGTTGCTATAGCAAGAGGCTACACTGAAGCGCTACAGCTGTGTTGTACCTGTTTACGTGTAGACATAGCCTAAGAGTCTCTTATTCTTGAAGGTTACGTGTGTAAAGTTGAGTGTTCTGTGTTCATGTTTGTATCTCTTCTCTTGCAGCATTGACAAAATTTCTAAAATAACATCGCCAGTGTTAATAATCCATGGGACTGAAGATGAAGTAATTGACTTTTCGCATGGCTTAGCATTATTTGAGCGTTGCCAGAGACCTGTAGAGCCACTGTGGGTAGAAGGAGCCGGCCATAATGATGTGGAACTTTATGGACAGTACCTTGAACGATTAAAACAGTTTGTATCACAGGAACTGGTGAATTTGTAAAGTACTTTATATATTTACATGCTTTTTCATTTCACTGCAGAACTGCACACTTCGATAAATACTAACATAAAACCTGAAGGTTTTGTTTTCAAATCATGTCAGTTGCCTTCATAAATGTACAGGTAATGATTTGTGAACATAATTAATGAAGGTTTTAATACCAGTATTATAAACTGGAATAACATGATCATGCAGTTCAGCTTCTGTAGTTCGTATACTATGTGTGAGTTTTCTTTTTAGATGTACAAAATATCACAAGGAGTACTGTATGAAATTTTAATTATGTAAAATCAGATGCTGTAAAAGTGTTGCCAAATGCTTTAGCATATCAGAAACAAATTTATAAATATTTTTTAAACATCTCAAAATGTACTGTGACTTATTCTGTTGCACAGGTGTACACTAAAAATCAGACTTCTAAACAGCTGTACTTGTAAAAATACCAATAGCCATGAGATTTAAGCAAATATGTAATGAAAACATAGACACTCACTGGAATTGGCCCAGGCCCTGTTTTATAGGGAGCGGGTCAAAACAAGTTGTGGGTTTTTTTTTGTTTTTTTTTTTGTTTTTTTTTTTTTTTGCTACCGTGCATTATATCTTATGTCTTGTGGTTAATTTGTTGTTTTTGTTTTGTTTTGTAACTTGGAAGATGAGGTTTAAATCTGCCTACTCATCTATTCCTTAGCTAAACAGGTTATTCTGTAAAATGAAGTCCTAAAATACCACTGTTATAACAAATTTCATTCACATGCTCACTACTGAGGTGTAACTAAATATTTTAGTGGTTTATTTGAAACCAGTAAGGTATTTAGAGCTAGGAGCTAGTTTCAAATGTCAATTCTATAGAGATGCAGTATATGGATAGAAAGAATCCTGGAAGTTTGTCTGACTTTGTAATGAACAAATGCAAGCTTGCAGTTGTCAGTTCAGGTTTACTTTTGGGTGTTTATTAGTGTGCAACCTATTGTTTTTATTACTGTATGAAAATTTTACTAATCTGCTCCTGAACAGTGAAGAAAGAGAATGTTGACACTTTTTTGTATTAACTCATAGTGAAATAAATTTTGTAAGTTGCCTTTCCCTTGAATGAGTTTTGCTTGAATAAAACTATGAAAAATAATGACAAACTTAAAATTATAGGTAGCCTAACTTGTAAACATAGTAATATTCCAACAAAATACACACTGTGCTTCTAATTTTAAGGCCTTATGTAGTTTGTTCTGCTTGTTTTTGTGATTGTCCAAGACTACTGTGTAATTAAATGTATTATCAAATATTGTGAATGATTTGGTTCAGATGTGTTAACTAACAGTAAATAATATTACACAATTTGCTGTTCTTTATTTTGTTCTGAAAAACTTCAGTATACTAATTAACTATCTGGCTACTAACTATAAAAGGAGATTGCGATTTCTGAGGAAGATCATCTGCAGGCTGTTTTTCAGAGGCCCCCTTCACAAAACCAGAGATATGGTATGTTTGCCAGCAAAGATCCTGAGCAGTGTTGCTGGCCATAGGCTGTTGATGACAAACTGTCGTAACTTGGGCGGCAGTCCTTGTTCGGTTTGAGTTTTATGCTGGGGGACATAGCAGCTCAGAACTGGAAGGACACAAAGATAGATTAAAGCCACCTTAGCCCCACTTCTCCCTGGGCTATGAGTTTAAGTCATTTTGCCCGTAATGTTTAGTACCCAATTTGCACAGCTGTCTCATTATACTTCTAGGCAGTGGAGAATTGGAATCTTGAGTGCAATTCCACATGGTTATCTTCAGCTTTATTCTGATCTCTATTTTTTAATGTAGATTCTTTCATGAAAGATAACTGAAGCATTTAATATACTGTATATGTAGTAAAAGCTATGTAGCATATTCATTCAGTTATGAAAGCTCCGCTCTTATTACTGACATACAACTGCTAATTATAACAGCTGGAAAAGTTTGATATGTTATCTTATGTGGTGGTGGTCATGGTATTATGTTCTTTATGCTTATACCTGGGCTTCATTATTGTCAGTTTCACAAAGGGCTATTTTATATTAAAAATACAATTGTCCCATGATCACAAGAGTTGATGTCAGCATTCATTAACAGATGTTTGTGTGTTGGACAAACTACCAAAGCAGAAAACACTGTGAAACTCATGATCCTTTAAAAAAGATGAATGTGTATAGGCAAAAAAAATAATTTGAGTATGTTGTATTTATGTTTCTGACCTTTGGAAAGGTTGGTAGGTCTATTCTGTATACTCACAAACCTTTATTGGCTCAAACAACATCTTCAAGTGAGTGTCAGGGTGGATTCTGCTATAGAGGCACATGCCTGTTGCACACAAGATTGGGTTTTGTTTAATAGTGTCTGTCAGGGCCATGCATATACCCTGTGTCATCTCATGCTCGCATGAAAGGTGATGAAGCAGCCGTGACCCTCCCTCAGTTCTCTTATTGCCCATGGCAATGAGACAGAACCCAGTGAGTGCTTGTCCTGCTTCTCTGGAGCTTCAACCATATTCCTTTTTTGAACTTTTTAGTGAAAAAATGACCATCCTCATTTTTAGGTTTTTTTTTTTTTTTTTTTTTTTTTTTTTTTAAGTAGGATGTTCTAAAAATAGAAAAGACCGAGTACATCCCCTGAGCAGGGCTTTTGCACCCTGCATCTACCACTCTGGCAAATCCCAACCTGTGTCGGACATATCCCCAGGTTGAGAGGCGTAATAAATGCCTATTCTGTTTAGAGCAAATAATATTCCCAATAAGTGTGCCAGTGTGCAAAGCTTATTAAGGACTTGTACATCAAGGGACGTGGCTGCAACTACACCTACTCAATGGAGAGGTACTACTGCCTCTAAAGGATTAAAAGGGTTTTCTTTAGCAAGTGTTCCCTTGGGTAGAAACCACACCCAAGCAGCAACAGGAAAGCAGGAAAGAAATGCCATCAAGATTGGCACCAATAACTTCACAGGCAACTGGGCTGACTGACTTGGCACTGGTTCCCACAACATTGACAACATCATCAGAATGAACTTTGGCACCCCAATACAAGGGTGAGGACCAAAAGGGCCCAACCAGTGTCTGGGCAGAGCTCCAAATACCAGAAGACTTCCTCCTGAAAGGAGGAAAAGAGACAGTACTCCTCCAGAGACAGTTTTAAGTTCTCTGTTAACATAAGTGATGCTTAGAAAACCAGTACCAATACTGGAACGAGCAAAGACTCCAGTGCTGACGATTGCACCAATTACAGGCCCAAGGTATTTAGGCTGTTCTGTGATGACATATCCAGGGATATTTTCAGCACGGGACCAGTGTCATTCAGGCCCTGAGTACTACCCCACAGCTCTGCCATTCAAAGAGTGCAACTTCTTATTAATCCCTAGATTTCACCTTCTCCTAGTTTCAAACAGGGACACCTCTCTCTCTCTCTCTCTCTCTCTCCCCTACGAGAGCGACCTTAGAACCAGCATCAAAGATCCTCTCACAAGGCACCATCTCAATAGATGCAAGTGCTCAAAGCTTACTTGTCAGCCTTGCTTCAACTCTGGCTGGCAAACTGTCAGGCATTACTTGCCAAGTATAATTTCCTGATGTGGGAACTTCCTTTCTAGCCAGACTGCTACAAGACATTAGGGAAGTGCTATAGGAGACTATTAAAGAAGGCCAAACAATTACCAGAACAGGCCTGCATGTAGCCATGGATGCTCTGAGACAACCATGAGGTTCATGACCAAAGCCATGACTACAAGATGAGCTCACTGGCTGTCAGCCTCTGGGATACTGAGAGGTCCAAGATACTATCCAGTACCTCCCATTTGAGGGAATAGAGCTCTTCCACACAATGATTGGCTAAGTCTTCAATTCCTTAAAAGACTCAAGGGCCTGCCTCAGATCTCTGGGAGTATATACACCAATCACTTACAAGAATCCCTGCAAGTATTTGTCCCAGCAGAGACCATGGGCTCACCTGAACCCAGTATAGCTAACCAGATTTACCCCAGTGGGAACAGTCACACTACCCACAGAAGATGCCTGTCACCGGTCTTCCATATCATACACACACCACCCCATCAACCAGACAGCAGATTTGATGGGGATGGCAGGAGCTACATCAGAGCTGATCAGTGGTCAGCAACTACTTGTGGGAACTTACCTGCCCCGTTCCACTGGGCTTGGTCCAATTATTGCCTTGGACAACAGTGGTTGGAAATAGTCGCCCATGGTTATTCCATCCAGACCCAACTCTCACATCCCTGTTCCTCTGTAGGGACTCTTCTCATGAGCACCTGTTACAAAAAGAAATGGCCTTGATGCTTTGTTGAGGAGCTGTAGAAGAGGTTTCACAAGCATACAGGGGAAAAGGCTTCTTGCTGTACTTCATTAACCTGGAGAAGGAGAGTCTTTATCCTATCCTAGATGTGAGGAGACTGAACAAATTTATTCGCTGCCTCAGATTCAGGATGGTAACACTTGCCTCCATCTCTACGGACTCAAGACTGGTTTGTGGTTTTCAACTTGCAAAATATCTACTTCCACCTAGCTGTCCACCTAGACCCCACATTCATAGTGGGATCAAATCATGACCAGTACAAGGTACTTCTGTGCAGGCTCTCCACAGCAACAAGGGACCTCACAAAATGCCTTGGTGTGATAGCACCTGAGAAGACTAGGCATTCACATCTACTCCTACATGGACCACTGTCTGAACAGAGGCCAGTCACAATGGGAGTCAGCAGTAAGCCTTGAATACTCTATTCATATTTATTTGGCTAGGCCTTCTAGTGAAATACAAAGAATCATCACTTACTTATCACACATGATAGTTTATAGTAGCCCTAATCAAAACCAGATCAGAAAAAGTGTACTTGCCCTAGTACAGACTCCAGTTATTACTAGGATTCCTACTCCAGTTAACATCAGAAATGACTGACAGTATGGCCGCATCTCAGAGTGTTAGGGCACATGTCAGCATGCAGGTATGTGACACTACATGGGATTGTATACTAATGTCTTGGAGCTTGGAGTCAACAGATAGGAATGCCATTACAAGCCAATCTGTCCTCCAAACCTATGTAATGCAGGTTTTCATGGAAGAATTAAAAAACTCACTTTTGCTTAAGAGTTGGCCAGAGTGCAAGTGTATTATGGATGCCTTTGTCCTGTAATGAAACACAGGCTTGCTGTATACCAGGGGTGGGCAAACTGCGGCCAGGGGGCCACAGCCGGCCCTCGAGCTGCCGCTGGGGAGCAGGGTCTGGGGCTTACCCTGCTCCCATGCTCCGAGCAGCATCAGAGGCTGCTCCGCGCACATGTACCAGGACTCCTAGAAGCAGCAGCTTGTCCCCCCTCCCGCTCCTACATTTAGGAGTAGCCAGGTGGCTCCGCCTGCTGCCCCTGCCTGAAGCCCTACCCCCGCAGCTCCCATTGGTTGGGAGCTGCAGGGGCAGCGCCTGCAGACAGGGCAGTGCGCAGAACCGCCTGGCCGTGCCTCTGCTTAGGAGCCAGAGGGGAGACATGCCGCTGCTTCCAAGAGCTGCTTGAAGTAAGAGCTGCCCAGAGC